TATTTTTCGCAAACTACTTAAGATGCCCATGAAAACAGATCTTAAAGTTTAAGCATTCTTTGAGCAGCATTTCCATTGCACTCAAAACATGTTCCACCTGCACTGTCAAGTTACAAATGGTGAGCAAAAGAAATCCATACCACAGCAACTGTGTAGCCCATGGATTACTCTTGGAAGTATTTCTTCTTGCACAAAGGTGAACAACCACCTCAACACTGACACTGACAAATAGGCTGTCTTTCTAGTAACACTCCAAAGTGATATTTAAAAGCAAATAAATTCAATTATTTTGAAATTTACTTCTGTTGAAGACAGTAATTCATTTGCTTTAGGAAAAAACAGACAGTTAACCCATCTAACAGGGTTGTTCCACAGAGCACACTATTCAGTGCTGAACATGGGGTTAGTTTTCAAGAAATGTCATAGCACAACTTGCAATATTTTCCATGGTAATACTCATGTTAATAAGATATTGGAGTATATCATTTCCGGGTCTCTCTAAAGAGATGTAATTTTTATTACAGTTCAGTAGCATGAATGAAATTTTATCAGCTTCCATAAGCTTATTTTTTAATGGAGAGTCTTTTCTGCAAAACTGTATGCTTTTTACAAACAAATATTTACTGAGCTGCCCTTCATTAAAAATAAGAAAAAAATTATTTTTCACATTTTACATTAAAATGTTATTGCAAGATTTGATTAGCTTGTTCTTAGAATAAAAAAAAAATATTAATTTGATAGTACTTTTAATGTGCTCCAGCAACTTCTATAAAAGCTTGAAGCATGGGAATTAAGCTAACTTAAAAAAATTCAGAATTAAATAGCTGTGAACCTTAAGTGATTCTATTTATGAATATATCTCCATGTAGTAATAGACGGCTCAACCCACATATGTTTTTACTCAAAAAAATACTCTGAGTTCTTACTGTGGTTTAACCCTTACATCAATTCCATCAGGTTTCCCTATGAATGTATGCCCATGACTGAATGCCTGTTCATTAAGTGCCCTCAAATATACAAAGGTTTTGTTCTCTTTAGAGTTAATGCAGATTATGTGTGCTTTTTGGAAGGAGAAATATAAAAATCTTTGAAAAAGGCCCCTTTAGAGAATTTGGAAGTTTTAGCATGGTTATTTTCTGGTTCCCATGGTCTGCCTGTGCAGAATTTAGAAATATTACAGAAAACTTTTGATGGTTCAGCTGTAGTTTTGGATATCTTATTGCAGATCTGAATTTCTAGTAGGTAAGTACTACCCAGGAAATGAGGTTCTGTGGCCTTTCCATGGTACCTGAAATAATCCTTTCCTCTTGTATGTTCCTGTGAATTTCTTTCTGAACACCATATGTGAGGAAATTTGGCAGAATAGAAATGGCTTATCTAAAATACAGTAGGACATTTAGGATGCCTGCAGAATGCATGCCACTGAGTAAAAAGGTTGTCTCGTACATCTCTCTTTAGCTGAGTTTCACAGCCTACCTACCTCACATATCATTGCTGAAAAACATGCTTATGCATTCTTTACTTGACTCACGTGTGGCAGAAAATACCAGTACCAACTGCTTTCTTTAGATCCTGTGTTTTTGATTGAAGCAAACTCCACTGACAGATCTACTTGATAGAACTAGAAATTGCCCAGCAGCAGCTACATCCATCCAACATCAGCTCTGCTGTCAGCACACAGGGGACTGGTTCTCTTTCCCTGCAAGCGTAGCGGATCAGGGACTTCATTTCCCAAACGAGACTTTCAGTCCCCAAAAAGCATATGGCAAAAAGTCAGAAATATGAAACAATTAAAGAAGAAAATTATGAAAATCAGACTCTCCAATCTGTTTTGTGTAAAAGACAAAAAAAGTGGAATAAATCAAGGAGCCATTGTTGTTGAAACTTTGTAGGAATTTTCAGATGTCAAGCTGTTCTGTAAGTTGATACTGGATGCTTAAGGTTACCTAGGAAACTCCAACAACAATGATATTTTGGGCAGTCGTAATAAATGTTATTTAAATGAGAAGATATTTCCACTCTTTTGTATGTGCAATTATGCTAATTGAATTGAAAGAAAACTCTGACATTTCCAATTAGCATTTACTACAAAAGATATATATGCAAATATAACAGAAGGTAAATGCTGATTTAAAAAAATGAAATATGTAGTGTGGTACCATACCACAGCAGACAATTATTAAGAATGTTATTATCAAACTTTTCTTACCCAATATAAACGTCATCAGCAGTACATAGCACATACTGAGAGTCCTTGTAAAACATTTGAAAAAGAAAACAAGCTATCCAAAGATAATATAAACAAACACGTTAAAACATGATCAAAAATATAATGTAGTTCACGATGTTTTAAAAATGTGGATTTTGTTTTGTTTTGTTTTTGTCTGAAATTATTTTCAAAGCAACTCATACTTTAATAAATCATATATAATATTTGGGAAGGAAAAGGAGAAGTAAATCTTTATTGGAATGTTCTGGAACTTTAAAACTCTGAGAGCCCACTGATACTATTGAGGACCTAGAACAATAAAAGAAATATGTCCATCCTACTGTAGAAAAGCCTGCTGAGGAGGATGGAGAGCAAAAAAAGCCTTGTTTACTCCGGACACTGATTTCTGGCCCTGCACTGCAAAGTTAACAGTGAAAGTACAGCTAGATCATCAGCTGTCATTGCTAGCCTTCAGAGCATGTGTTTGAGTCTGCAAACTCAAATACTTCAGCCTGAACTGTCTAGAGAAGTGATTTGGGATAACTTCACTGCCCTGAAATGGATTGGGAAGCACCCATATATCATGATCTGGTGATACCCATAATAATGGATAATCACTGGAGCATAATAATGGGATAATAAAGATACTCCATCCTAAATTATCAGCAGAAATTTCTTTGCCATACAGACATTTTTGCTGACTAACGGTGGGTTTAAGAGGAGCCCATCTTGTTCTCCCCTTGATTTTACCTGGAGTAGCATGTGTGTTTTCTTCTTGGGTTCTGCCAATAAACTACAGTTCTCACATTACCTATCCTGCTGTGATCACTGTTAGGGATATAATTTAGATGATCCTACAGTTTATCTGGACTAATAGAGCAGGAAAATGTAGGATATGAAAATGACAATATTTTGATTTTCCATATTTTGATTTTCACCACTTAACCTCCTTCTTTGTCCTTTAAAAGGGCTCTGCAAAAAGATTGGAATAAATTATTTAGCTTATTGTGGTCTGGACTGCATGATATTTTTAATTTTTTCACTGATAAAACAACAACACTACTGAACAGACTGACACTTTACAGCATACATTGTGATAAGTGGAGCACTGAGATAGATGGAAGAAGGTTTGAGAGACTGATAGTAATTGTTTATATCTCATGTGTTTCTTACTATATTGAATTATTTTGCCATTAACCCCTTGCCATTAACAAGGATCCTATTTTATGAGTCATCAATGGCTAACAAATCTCATTTCTAAAGGACTAGATCTGGAGTTGCTTCAGACATCCAAGAATGTGTAGTCAGATCCTTCTCTAATGAAAAACGAATGCTCCCACAATAAAGACAGACAAAAAAATTTAAGGACAGCATGGTATAAGGGGAGAAGGTAATTCCCTGCTTCCCACTTAGGTGGTACTACATAGAGTTTGTGTTAATTTTTGATGTTTCCTTGGTGGCTTGACATGAAGTAGAACTACTCAAGCTTGGTAAACAAGTGCAAACTGAAAGTATGAGCTTTTATTACAGTCATTTAAAGAATCTCCTAGGTGTTACTGAGGAGATTCCTTGCACAGAGCTGGTCTCTGCACAATAATGGCATTGTGGTTACGCTATGGGCCAGGCCAAACCTGAACTCTTTGGGAAGGAGATCACTCCTGGCACTCAGCAGAACACTGAACAACATCCTTTGCAAAAAAAGAACAATGCTCTAAAACCTTTTGTCTAAGACCAATTCCTTTTAAAATTCCTACCTCCTGGAGGTAGAATTTGACTCTTCATGGTAAGAAAGATGTTTTCTCATTTTAGAGAAACTGTAGAAGCTGCTTAGATTCACCCTCAGACTCCAGTCACTTGTACACCAAAGGCTGGGTTGTGATACCCACAGACATACTTAGGGAATGATTTGGACTCAAAAATCCAGCAACCATCCTCCTTGCTCCTTCCTCTTGCTTAAAAAAAGGAACATCCATATGGCATTGGACTGTGCTCTGTTCAAGATGCAGGTGCAAATTTAGTGGATGTCATCAATAGATTGGTTGGGGTTGGACTACTAGACCCTCCACTCTCATGACTAATTAACCTGCTCATCCACAAATAACCCTCACATAGTTTTGCATGGCTTTAAATGAAGCAGAGTAGAAGTACACTATAAATTATTAGACTTCATGAAAAGTAGTGTAATTATTTGTTAATGTATAGTGAACCCTTTAATTTTTAATCTGAGCAGCCAAAATGAGTCTGTACCTTTTTTAACTCTCTCATACCACAAGCCTGATGGACTTCCCAACACCAAACACAAACTTATTTCATACTAAATGAAAGAATATAAGCTCACCACATTGAAATTCATTTAAAATGCAAAAAAGAGGATTTAGCTTAGACATCAGAACAAACTCCTAAACCTATGCATGGAAGCAGCCTGTTCAGGAAGGCTGTGAACTTTCTAACATGGGTACTTTCTAAAATAAAGTGGGAAAGTCTGTCAGAAATTACACCGGAACAGCTGATCTCCCTTCAGCAGGGAGAATGAATTAATGTTTCCAGCTCCCTTCCATATCAATTTTCTAAAATTTGTGTTTTTTTAAAAGTGATATTTTGCTAGTTTACATATAATGTTGACCTTTGTCACCAGAAATAATTTCATTCCAAAACATTTAAGATATTAAAAGAACGTCTTTTATTGAAAAAAAGCCCTACAGTTCTGGAAGCAAACTAATAATTTAGTCTTGGTTGTGTCTGGATTGTAAACTGCAAAGATAAAGTTGAAAAAAGGAAGGTAAGTACTTACTCATTTTGTGGTTTATCTTCAGCCCACTACCTAAAGTAAAAGTACCTAGAGGAAAGAACACCTGATTGTCTTTGTGATGACTTTTGTTTCTTTAATCTTTTCTTTTGTTTCTAGCTTTACGCTGGATGATGAAACAATCTCAAGTAATTCCAAAAATTGACCCACTTCCTTATCAAAGTGGACCTCACGAGGGCTTGATTCCTTCTTCTAGCAAAGTTAGTAGCAACCGAAAAATATGAGAAACAAGGTTAAGAGAAATTATAAACACTGTAGAACACGTTTCAGGGGTCACACACTGCAAGAAAGAAGTCTGAGAACACACACTGCAGAAAATATCCTCTAATTTGTAGTAACCCTAATTTATAATTTTGGAATTTCCAGAACTGGAAACCAGGACACGACAGGTCTTTTAAGGTTGGATTAGGCAAACATATGTTGGCAATAATAAAGATCCTGCCTGAGGACAAAGAGGTAGACAAATGGCCTTTTGAAGTTCCTTCTAGCAATATTTATTTAACACTCTAGATTTACTGACTAACTAGTTATTGTTCCCTGTGGAATAAAGACCCTTACACTTTGAATTACATTTTAATCCTAGATCCTAAATCAGTTTAAAGTAAATTAAAAGATGTTTGCTGAAAAGGTTTGGCCACTACTGTGGGTTTTTCCTTCACTACTAATAAAAGAAATATATTGCTACATAACCTGTGTTGTAAGCTAAAGAAATTACCTACTAAAATTCGGTAACATAATTAAGGAATAGGCTCGGCTGTTGATGCCTCTGCTAGGAGATAATAGATGGCAAGGAGAGTTACATGTGCTGAAAATATATTTACAACACATAAAGTTGCAATGTCCTATTACTGTTTGGTAGAACCTCCAGAAGAATGGTACTCTGTCAGGGCAATAAGTGGTTTCTTTCCCAACTTATTTAAAAATTTTCATATTAAAATATGTCTCTGATATTTCTGTTGATTGAAGCTTTAAAATATTTTAAAGTCTGGATGACTTTGGAACATGAAATCAGAGTACAACAATATGCAGCTCTTTTTAAGTTGCTCATGAAGACCCACAGAGCAGATATCACAGAGTCATTGGAACTGTGAGAGGAGGTCTCAGTGATGCATTTTGTCAGGTAAAGTGATGTGAGCTCAACTGATTTATAAAATTTCAGTGGTTTAGTAACAGTAACCATGTTTGAAAAACAAAACTTGACAAAAAGCTTTTGGGCCAAAGAAGGGGACAATGAAGATTTCCAATGAATTTTTATTTATTTGTTTATGCTATGGAGTATCAAGTTCTCTTGTGAGTCCTGATGCACAGTTTTATTTTCAGAATAAAATAAAGACATAAAAAAAGCTGTTTCCTTTGAAATACTGTTTATTAAAATATTCTCTGAATTTGGATTAACAATAGTGCCGTAAATATCCTTCAGAATGTATATGGTGAGCATAAAGAGTATATGCCACTTAGTCTAGAGATAGAGTGTATTGTATAGTCTGCTAATGTATAAAATGTTATGGAAGGTTCATTTAAAAAAGCAATGGTCCATCAAGATGAGCCCCCTGAATTTTCTTCTGACAGCAGCTGAAGTTGAGATATCTGGTAGTATTGGGATATCCTACCACCATTAAGAAAGACTGAGTGTATCTGACTTCTGGAGTGCTGGGGAAAGCCAGCACTGAGGCACTTGGCAGCAGTACTGCAGGTGGAAAGGCTTACGGAAGAAGTAAGTTTCTACATTCCAGAAGGCCTGATAAGTCCAATTTTCATAAAATGATTTATTCCACCTGAAGAATACTGTAAGAGAATCACTTCAGAAATCTAATTTTCTTGAATCTAGGCTCATCTAAAACATGCTATTTGGAGTCCCTAAAAGGCTTATAATAAATATGAATGCTGTTTGGATAAAATACAACACATATCAAATTAGAAGACAGAGGCATCCCTTCAGGCAATACCTGTAAAGGTTCTTAAGCTCTGTGGTTAAATATTTTGTGGTTTAGAATGAGCCAGTAGCTCAGCACCATGTACCTGTTTGCTCACCTCCCTCCTTCCCCACTCCCGGTGGGATGGGGAGGAGAACCAAAAGAATGTTAAACCCCAGGGGTTGATATAAGAGCAGTACAATCACTAAAGTACAATATAATAGTACTACCACTAATAAGGAAACAACAAGGGCAGAGAATATGAAATTAAAAGGGGAAAGAAAAAAAAAAAAAGCAGCAGTGATGCATAATACAATTGCTCACCACCTGCCAACCAATATCCAGCTTGACACAAGCAGTGATCTGCCTTTCTGGGTGACTCCCCTGAGTTTTTATACTGGACAAGACATGCTGAAGTATGGAATAACCCTTTGTCTAGCTGGGGTCAGGTGTGCTGTCTCTGCTTCCTCCGGGCTTCCCATGCTCCTCTTCACTGGCAAAGCATGAGAGACTTGAAAAGTCCTTGATCAGGGTAAGCGCTATTAGCAGCAACTAAAACATCGGTGTGCTATCAGCATTATTCTGAGACTAAAGCCAAAACACAACACTATCAGCTACCAGGAAGGAGGAAAAAACCGTTACAGCTGAAACCAGGACAAATATATTTGCAGATAGTTTATATTTGAAATAACTGAAAGGAGAAGTCGCAGGAGTAAGTTTCTGGAATAGTTTTCCAGCATGTGCTCAGCAGGCAAGGCTCCTATTTCTTATAAAACAACACGGTAATTTTTTCTCTAGAATTTTATGATGTGATCACGTTTGATTAACTAGAGGGGTAAATGCAGAAAGGCCTTTTAACTTTATTCTTAAACTCTTCCTAAGTTGCCTCATTATATCTGGACCACTGCACTAGTCAGTTTACCTGATTGGGTGCATATAAGTTATGATCAAGTACTTATTTTCTAAAGAATTTTATTTTATCTCTGGTTTGTGTATTTGATTTACCATTATCTCAAAATGGCATGGGAACAGAAGCTATGGCATGGGAAGACAGCAGTGCTGATGTTGTCATGTAGATGATACAATTCATGCAGTGTTTATATCTAGGGAAAGCCATTTTTTAGGAGATACATATGAAGAATCCAGCCATAATAACATTAACCCTCCTAGTCTTTGCAGTGGCATATGTTAATTATGTCTAAATAATTGTTAAAAGTACTTTAAAATACCAATTGGGATTACAGAGCTTTAGTTCATGGGAAAAGCCCTGAAAGAAAAAAACTATTTTAATCTCATAAAATAAAACCAGATTTTGTGGTTGTGGTGGGGGGTTTTATTTTACATTGGTTCTCTATTTCCTCAATAGACAGACAAAATAATTAAGTATATGCATTCCAAATCCTCTCTTGTTACTCATTTTAATAACAGGAGATACAGTAGCATATCTTGCAATTATTATCTTTATCATTTCATTTTCATGCTGAGCAATATTTTGCTGCACTATTGCTAAAGGCAAAATAGAGCAATATTTTTAACAGCATGTACCAACTTAACTATAATATTCAGCAGCCAAAGGGTCATCCAGAAGAGATGCCTTTGTAAAAATTTGAATTATCAAGAATTGGTTTATTACGATAATGTCCTTTCTAGGAAAACAACCATTTGCTTACATCAACTGAATAAGAAATAACTCCTGTAAAAATTTTTCCATATTATCAAGGTTTCAGACCATTCTTAAGCTCTAACAGCCTGTCCAGATCCAGGCCGTAGCTCAGACAAAGAAACAGGCAGATGTGGGAGAAAATAGCACAAAATATGTAAAGAGAGGAAGTGCTAGAAAACTGCGGCAACTTAGACTTCGAAGAATCCTTTTATCAGAAGATGTTAGCTGAAAGTTAAGTGTACCAAATAGGCCTTAAAAGCTAAGCATAGGAAGGACATCTATGTCATTCAACAATTCTGTCTAGACAGCAACAACTATTCAGAGCAATTTGAGGTCTTCATTATGTCTCATTTGAGTTGGTAAACATGTCTTTGTCTTTGTCCATGCAGGTGGTTTTCTTGATCATGAGAAGATACCTGTACTGGAAGAATCCTTCATTTGACAGATGAATGTCTAATAGAACTTTCCTCTGGGAAGACTGAACCACACAAGTTAATGCATGCAATGGCTTTACTCCAGGTGAGTTTAAACACTCTGAGAAGGCAGAAAATTTCTCATTTCTGAGTGCATTATGCAGACCCATAAACGAATTTGTAATGCACAAATGGAATCTCAGGTATGCTGATATTGATGGGACATTAACCACTGACTTCAGAGAATCAGGATCCTCCTTAACCATACAAACTTAGCAGAAGAGAGTGGAGCTTATGACTGAGAGCTGGCTCACTTCAAGCCTGGTGACTGGGAAGAGACAAAAGGTTCTTCTACACTTCACTTTGTATCCTTCAGTTGCTTTCTTAACTAGAGACATCATACTATACTATACAGTGTGCTGTACAGTCTGCTAGTCTCACTATTTTCCTGTAACCTGAGGGTATTATTTTGCAAATTGGACACTCCAGAAAAGTCTGTGTCTTTATTTTTAATTATAAGAGCTTCTTTCCTCACTGTTTCAGCACTACTGAGATGGGGTCTGATATGGCCGTGAAATGCAGAGAACTAAGACCTGCCACTAAATAATTCCTAATGCTTCCACAAACTAAAAAAAAACAACAACCCCAAAAAACAAACAAAAAACAAACAAAACTTGAACAAACTTAGATAATTCCTAATATAATCAAGCTCCTACTAAAGGTAGTATCATTTCAGTGACAGCAGCTTCAGATCTTAATTATGGAAGAGTTGAGCCCTTGAAAATCTGAATATCTAGTGGCTGTTTTCTAAACTTTTCAAATGGAGCAGGTTTGCATACCTATCAGAGAAACGTTTGGGGCAATCAGATAAAATGTGAAATAATTAAAAGTTATACTCCCCTAAAATACCCTTCACTGGATTACCCACACTGCTGGAATCCTAAATGTTTTTTTTTCTTTTTCCTTATTCTTCCAGAAAGTGTCATCTAGCTTTTATAGATTACTTTGCTATTGGCATAATTTATAAATTTGAACCAATCC